TGGTACTCTTTTATTTGTGGCTTTATGCTCAGCCAGTGTCTTGCAGAGGCAGCGTCAAGACTTTTTAAACACACCTCCTAATTTGTCCTAGCAGTCTCAGCAGAACAAGGGAGGTTCCCTTTTTCTTTCACCATCACAGTCTAGCTGTCTTCAGGGAGCTGAACTTTGCTCTGGAAGACACAACTCTCTTACGCAGCTTCTACGCCAGATATTGCTTTGGTGCTCACAGTTTCACGAGGCAAGTGATCTGGTCCTGCTTCCTTTGCTCCATAGTCCATGACTTGCTCTTGGTGCGGCATTTCAGCAGCTCTACTTTGAAGTCCTGATGGTGCATTGGAAAATAGCTCTGAGGTTCAGAGAGTTCCTGGTAAATGGAGGGAAAATGCATAATGTTGAGTGGTTAGTATTGGGAGATGCTGGGCAGACAAAAGTAGATAGTTTATCCCAGGAGCCAGTATGTTCTCAGTGTGGGCACAATCATTGTTTATCCACGCCAGCACCTACAGGTGAGACAGAAGCACAGTCCACTGGCTGAAACAAATTAGGAGTCAGGCAATCCATGAGTATCTTTAGCTACATCAGCTCCTATGGGGAGAAAACAATCCTAGCTTTACATAAAAAAATCATCAGCTTTCACAGACTATTTGGGAGGAAGGTCTTGGGAGTTCTGCAGAACTGCCTGTTATGATATCAGTTCTCAGGAGCTCAGTAATGGTCAAAACCAAAACTAAACCCTAACCAAATACGAAGAATAAGCAACAGAACAGAGAAGAGCATTCTACAACTATATAAAGTCCTTCTAGGCCCCCTATCTCAAGGAATATAACAGAGACGGAAGAGAGACAGAGAACGGTGGCAAGGCTGATCAAAGTATGAAATGGCTTCCTAGCAAGGAAGAGTTGAATACACTGAGATTCTTCAGTCAAGAAGAAATGATTTGAGGAGGATCTGACACAGGTCTGTGAAATCCTCAGTGCCTCGGAGAGCATGAAATGGAAAACTACACAGTCACTCAATACAATACTGTAGGCACCAAAAGAAAACAGGTTTCAGGTTCAGAACACGAGATATGATGAAGCTTCCCAAGTCTATTATGGGGCAGTACGAATGTCACAAATTTACATAGATTTGAAAAAAATTAAGATGGAAACATTTATAGAAGATGCTGCTACCAAGGGCTATTACATACACAGATGCCACAAGTTGCTAAATGATGGAGAATTCTCTGGGGAAATACAAGTCCACGTTTGCCACCTTTTTATACTCTTCTGTAACAGATAGGAACTGGCTAGACAGCTATACTGGGCCAGAGTATTCTGATGGTATTTTCTCTAAGCCCTGCATCTTGCCCAGAGGTCTTCCTGTAACCTTGTGCTCAGGAAAAAATTCTTTATAGCCTCCCTTCAGGACATACAGCTCAGGATAATGTAGTGCAGGGTACTCATTCATGGCACGATCTTCTTCCTTAAGACAGCGGCACCTTTTAATGCCAAGAAAAGAGCAGTCAGTAAGGGAAGGAATAACACTGTGGCATGAACCATTGTCTTTGCAAAAGGTACTCTCTTTCTTGCCACCCCCAGAAATAGTCAAGGTTAGGATTCACATCTTGGGAACCCTCTCAGAGGAGAATTCACGGTGGAACACAAGGATTGGGCCCTTCTGTGGCATGGAAGGGAGGTGAGGCTTCTTCAGGAAAAAGACCTGGCCCAGAGCAGAACAAGTCAGAAAAGGGCACCACACTGGGACACCAGCACTGTCAACCGTGCAGTGGGATTATGCATGCCCCTCCTACAGAGTCCTGTCAGATTTGAGGTAAAATAGCTGCCCCTGCCATGATAATGGGTGGATGCCCAAAGATGTGAATCCAAACAACTGGCTTTACAAATAAAAGTTATTGCCTCAAATCTTTGGTGCTGCCCTGGCAGCCCAGAGGGCAAACCGCATCCTGGGGTGCATCAAACACAGCAAAACCAGCTGGTCAAGAGAGGGGATTATCCTGCTGTATTCAGCACTGGGGCGGCCTCACCTGGAGTACTGCGTGCAGTGCTGGGCCCCACCATTTGAGAAGGATGTGAAGGTCCTCGAATGCGTCCAGAGGAGGGCAACAAAGCTGGTGACAGGGCCGGAAGGCATGTCCTCTGAGGAGCGGCTGAGGACTCTGGGTTTGTCTAGGTTGGAGAAAAGGAGGCTGAGGGGGCGACCTCATTGCTCTCCGCAGCTTCCTGAGGAGGGGACGTGGAGAGGGAGGTGCTGTCCTCTTCTCCCTGGGATCCAGTGACAGGACACGTGGGAATGGTTCAAAGCTGCATCAGGGGATGTTCAGACTTGACATCAGGAAGCATTTCTTTACCGAGAGGGTGGTCAAACACTGGAACAGGCTTCCTAGAGAGGTGGTTGATGCCCCATGCCTGTCAGTGTTTAAGAGGCATTTGGACAATGCCCTTAATACCATGCTTTAACTTTTGGTCAGCCCTGAAGCGGTCAGGCAGTTGGACTAGATGATCATTGTAGGTCCCTTCCAACTGAACTATCCTATCCTATCCTATCCTATCCTATCCTATCCATCAGCAGAGCTCATGGGCAACTGCCCTGATCAAGGGTAACCTGTGGGTGTTTGTGTCCATGGCTGATGTGGGGATTATATTCAAGTAAGAGAGCAGAATATACATGTGAAGTCATGAATCCATGAAGGGTGTTCTACATGTCTTGGTCAATTGCATTTCTCCAGACACAGAAATGAGAGAGGTTGAGCTACATCTTCCATCTGCTCTACATTGTCCCGCTACTTCCTGTAAATAACAGCGACCAAAGCTGTCCAGGAAAAAACAGAGCAGAACAGCAGAAATGCTCTCTAGTGCATATGGGCTTATGGTAACCTGGAAAATCAGCCCCACAATAACTGGGCAATGCATACTTCCCCACCGATCGAATCACATCATAAACGGTAAGCTACTCTGACCCTGCTCACCTCCATCCCTTCTTGTTTGTCAGGGAACAGCTCTGCAAAACCACTCAGGCTGCCTGATATTCTCTGTGCACGAGATCCTGTGACAGCAATCAAGCTGCCCAGATCTTTCATGTCAGACTCCAAGCTCTTTGTGTCCTTCCAGGGAAATAAAGTCGTTATGTACGTTCCTACAGCACTACTCAACTTTCACACTTGCTCTGCTGTTGCTGAGCAAAAACAATTACAAACACTGAAGCTTTCTTAGCATGGCTGAGTACATTTATCCTGTTGAGCATTTCCTGTGGTTGATCCAGAGCAGAATTCACTACGTGTTCCATCACCAAACCACACTACGTAGATGTACATGCATGTAGATAGACATCTCAACAGTTTCCAGTTCCCTACTGGAAACTTCTTCAGTCAAATAGCAGACAGTGCCCTGTTTTCTACTCAAAGAGAGGCCAGACTTACCTCACCCAGGCTTGGGCTACTGTGATACTACTGCCCCAGCACCTGCCATTAAGTCACTAGCTACCAAAAGACTGAAGTGTAAACTCACAAATGGAGAAGTGAGGTGAGTCAGAGGGTCTGTGCCTTTCTTCCAAAACAGCAGGGCCTCAGGTACATGCCAACCCAAGTGCCTAAACCAACTACCCTCCTGGAAAAAATGAGAAAGGAAGGGCTGTAGCACTTCAGTAGCACTGAAGCCAGCAACACCCCTTCACAATGGCAGTAAGAAGGCACAGATCCCTGCATAAGGGAAGCACGTTCCCAAATAGGGAATTGGAAACCTCAAAGATTTGCTACATTCCAGGTTCTGGTTCCTTTACTGAGCAGAATTTCAAGCTACTGCTAAATGCTCACTGTTCTCTTTTCCTACATGAAAGAAACCTCACCTTTTGGAAGCTATCAATCTCCCTGCTGTCTTGTTGCATAGTGTCTTGGAAACTTGGCATTGAGCATAGCACCTGTGTCTAAAATAGACAAGGAACATTCACTGTGAATCCTGACAACAGCAGCCAACGGTCTACTATGTTCAAACTGTGCGCACACTGCCCTCCTTTTGGTTGTATCCTCGCAGGTAATACCGTAGCCCATCTTCCAGTAATGAGGAACTGCTTACCAGGAAAGATCTCACATGCTGCTTCTGTGACACTCTGCAAGGAGGAAAACTGCCAGTCAGGTATCAACAGGTGCCTGCATGCAGTAGGAAATTTCATTTCACCCATTTATGTGCAGTGCTAGTCCGAAGAGCCCTAACTAGGGTAAATGCAATTTCTGTGTTCCATTCAAATCTTGGTCTTTCCCCTGAAGCTACTATAAAAGCAGTGCTTTCTTTTACAAAATGTAAGCCAGTCATCTAAGAGGGGTCTTGGGTCTCTTAAAAAGCAACAGCAGCGTTTCACCTGAGAGACATACAGCGGGAATTATTTCTAGCTAGTGCGGGGCCAGAAAGATGTACATGTCAATGACTAAAACCCAACTCAAACCAGCCGTCTACTCGGAAGAGTAAGTTTGGAAGGGTTGCCCATTACCATATGTTGCAGAGTCCCCCCAAAAGGCCATGTACTTGCAACAAATGTTTACAAAAGCACAGAGGAAGCAGAGCTCAGAGAGTGAACCGTCCTGAGGTGCACACGCCCTTGCAAGTCATAATCTGCGTAGTGAAAAACCGTCCCCCTGGCCACAAAAAGCGGGGGGAGAGGAAACCCAGGTGCCTCACCAGGCTCAGACGTAATTACCCGGAAGAGGGCAGCGTTGTCATGTCCCACATTAAATTTCACGCTCTTGAAACCAGCCGATCTCGTCAGCACGCTGGACTGGAGGTTGTGCGAAAGGGCTACAGCCGAGCTGCCTCTGCGGCGGGGAAGCCCTAAGGCAGGAGCCAGGGCAACAGCC